GCGAGAGCGAGAGAGAGAGAGAGAGAGAGAGGGAGGGAGTGGGAGAGGGGGAGAGAAAGAGGGAGGGGGGAGAGAGGGAGTGAGAGATAGAGAGAGAGAGAGAGAAGATGGGGGGGAGGGGGAGGAGGAAGGAAAACGACTTTTCTGAGGGCTCAATTCTTTTCTTGCCTTTCTTTTCCTTGTGCCGCCGGCACCCCCGCATAGATGCAATAGCCAGCCGGTACCACTGCACGATGCCGCGCTACCTGTACGCACGCACCTACGGCCCGACCGTCGGAGACAAGCTGCGGCTTGGCGACACAAGTCTCATCGTGGAGATTGAGCGGGATTTCACCGTCTATGGCGACGAATGCAAGTTTGGAGGTGGCAAGGTAGGCTGCACGCCCTGGTGCTTGGTCCTGCAACAATTTGGCGCCGGCATACCTCGGTGGTGTCTCTGTCATCGCTCCTAAATGACCTTTCTTCAATTAATATAATTAAAAGTTGATTTTGCTCAGGTCTTTAGCTGTTACTTGAATTGGCACTAGGTTGCTTACTTCTGGATGTGGATTAAACTAAGTGAAATTGCAACATTTATCTGTGTATATTCTCTATATGTTGTTTTCCTGAATAGAGGAGATGCTATAGTCAAACTTGTGTTATTAGCAGTCGCTTCTACAGAACGGGAAACTTTCTACGAATTTCTGTCTACACTTTTTACATTTCCCAAGAGTGGCAGTTATCCGGTGAAACTACCTCTGTAAAATGGTCACATGTCTATGAATATATGTCCAGAATCCCCAGGCTCATCAGAGCTTAAAACCATTGTAATTTTTCAATTATCTCAGCTAGAACAAATGTTATGAATGTTTTAAGATGACATTATTCGGTATATTTTGAAAAAGAAAGAAATGAGAAAAAGGCATTTGAAAGTAATGCTTTGTTCTTCAGCCTATTATAATGACAGGGTATAAAAATTAGCAAAAAAAACACTTTACTATAATTTTATCGAGAAAATGATTTAGGAGAGTGAAAATGAAGAGTTAATAAACATTTTTACATGAAAAGTAGAAAATGATCTTGAGAAGAATTTTCAATGTATTTTCACTAAAACAACGCATTACTCTATTATTGACCCAGCGATTTGTGCCTGGTTTTCCTGGACCGCCACACAAATGTTTCAAGGACGCGTTGTGTCGTGTCGGTGGTGTAGGTGCTGCGGGAGGGAATGGGACAGGCTGCTGGTGTGACAAACAACGTGGCTCTTGACACGGTGATCACAAACGCTGTCATCATCGACGCAGCCACAGGCGTGCTGAAGGCAGACATTGGCATTAAAGTGAGCTCTTATCTTTATTCATATAGTTTCATCTTTTTGTCTGTCTTCTTGGCCATCCATCTATCCACCCACCCATCCATCTGTCTGTAGTTATTGTGCCATTTATAACTTGAAATATTGCAATTTATACAAAATAGTTATGTATTATTGGTGGATTATATACTTATTAATATTAATCATGTTTCTTTTCCCTTCAATGAGTATAGAACAAAGTCTATTGCCAGTATATTTATGTATTTTCTTTATTTGCAGGATGGAAAGATTGTCGGTATTGGGAAGGCAGGCAACCCTGATGTCATGGGAGGTGTCATGCCTGTACGTACATTCATCTATGTCTGTCAACGTGCTTGCTTCTCATAGCTTATAAGTCATCCAGCATGGTTAAATTGCACTTGATTCTAGTTGATTTAATAAATTTTTCTCACAGCATGGTTATCTCAATTTACATACTAGTAAAGATTTGTGACCAGACATAAGGTGTGTAGTGTGAGTAGAATGATAACAGATAACGTGATATTACAACATAGATATCTATCTGTTACCATTTTACTCCTGGTTAAATGAGGTTGATTAATGCCTCTTGTTGTGTTGACACCTCACATACAGTTAGAAAGTATATCTGCTGACTAGCAAAAGAAATAATATCTGCCTTATATCAGTGGTAAAACTCTGTCTGCATAGGTGCATGTATGTAGCATGTGTGTAAAATGCACATTTCTGTGTGTGCCCGTGAGTGCGTGCGTGTGTGCGAGCATGGGTGTGTGTGTGTGCGTGTGTGTGTTTGTCTGTGTGTGCTTGCATGTGTAAGTCTTCAGTCACATACTATACGTAGCTGTCAGTGTGTGCTGTATGTGTGCTTGTCTCTTGCAGCACATGGTTGTGGGTGTAGGAACTGAGGCGATCGCTGGTGAGGGCATGATCGTGACGGCCGGAGCCATCGACTCACACATCCACTTCATCTGCCCGCAACTTGCACGTGAGGCCATCGCGTCGGGCATAACGACAATGCTAGGGGGTGGCACCGGTCCAGCAACAGGAACAAATGCGACCACCTGCACTCCGGGGCCAAACCACGTGAGGTGTGCCTGCCTACCGTGTCGTGTGTACCTGCATGCATGCATGTCTGTACCATGTCATGTGCGTACCTGCATGCATGCATGCATGTGTGTCTGTACCATGTAATGTGTACCTCCATGCATGCATGTGTGTACCATGTCATGTGTGTACCTGCATGCATGCATGCATGTGTGTCTGTACCATGTAATGTGTACCTGCATGCATGCATGCATGTGTCTGTACCAAGTAATGTGTACCTCCATGCATGCATGTGTGTACCATGTCATGTGTGTACCTGCATGCATGCATGCATGTGTGTCTGTACCATGTAATGTGTACCTGCATGCATGCATGCATGTGTCTGTACCATGTAATGTGTGTACCTGCATGCATGCATGCATGTGTGTCTGTACCATGTAATGTGTACCTCCATGCATGCATGTGTGTACCATGTAATGTGTGCACCTGCATGTATGCATGCATGTGTGTACCATGTAATGTGTGCACCTGCATGTATGCATGCATGTGTGTACCATGTAATGTGTGCACCTGCATGTATGCATGCATGTGTGTACCATGTCATATGTGCACCTGCATGTATGCATGCATGTGTGTACCGTGTCATGTGTGTACCTGCCTACCATGTCCATAGTGCTGCATGGTTGGTTGGTTAGCACATACACGCACGTCTCTTAATCGTTTTTTTAATTTCTCTCCATTTTTGATCATTCATCAGTGCCATCGCCACATCGAGTGCGATCACAAAAATCATGAACTACTGTGCATCTGTATTCTGATATCAGCCTCGCGATTACCCGCACAAATCACAGGGTTTAGTTCAATTTACTATTATTTCTTTATTACTCATACTTACTATATTTGCTGTATACTTTATTTTATTAATAATTTGCTTTACCCTGTTTCAAGGGAGATGTTTTGCCTTGGTGGTATGTGTTGGATTGTGACTTTTATTCTTTGTGAATTTCTTCACGTAAATTTCCCTCACCTTTCAGAGCCATGATTCAGGCGACCGATCAGTTTCCTCTGAACTTTGGCTTCACAGGAAAGGGAAACACCTCGTCTGTGCAGGAGGTCGTTCCTGAGCTAGAGGAGCAGCTAGTGGCTGGTGCGATGGGGTGGGTATGCACGCGCCAACGCACATACTCACGGCACCATACAGGCACACCCCACCCACACACGCACGCATACATGCCTCCACTCATGCATATGCAAGCACACGCACGCATGCCAGCAATGGGATGGGTACATATGCTATATGCTAGTAATGATATATATATATATAAGAAATTTTAGAGCACCATTGCAAGCAAGGAGCTTAACCGGAGCTCTTTCTGTTGGTGCCATCGTAATATTTGAGCCACCAGACAGCAGTACTGCAGTATTGACATGTTGAGCTCTGTCCGTAATGGGACTGAATATATCTGAAATGGAATTACCTTCCATAGATTAAAGCTGCATGAGGACTGGGGATCAACTCCAGCTGCCATCGACACCTGTTTGAGGGTCGCTGACAAGATGGATATACAGGTAGGTGGTGCCCTCATTACCTCCGCCCAATGGAGTTGGAGGAGGTTATGTGATCGCTCTCGTGTGTTAGTGTGTTAGTGTGTTAGTGTGTTAGTGTGTTAGTGTGTTCGTGCGATCGATATTAGCGCATCTAGTCGGCCAGCCAGCCATTCAGCAGCAGGCCAGTCAGTCAGGAGCAGGCAGCAGCGAGCAGCGAGCCAGCTCGTAACACATACATGTTACATGGGGCGTATGGCGTATGTCGCTGGCGGAGGTATGCACTCCGTGAGTTTCCTCTGTCTAGTTTGTATATTAATTAGTGCTGTGTTCATCACCGTATACAGCTAACCAAGATGTCCTGTTGCGACATGTATACAGCGCATGTTATACTGTATAGCTGATGATCATGGTGGTGCGATATCTCTCATTCATTCTGTGACGATGTTCTATTGTTTAGGTTATGATTCACACAGACACGCTGAATGAGTCGTGCTGCGTCGAGCAAACGATAGATGCATTTAAGGGTCGCACGATCCACACCTACCACTCGGAGGGTGCCGGCGGCGGCCACGCCCCTGATATCATTAAGGTAACCCACTGAATGCACACTGCAACCCACCACACATACCATGGTATACAATCACCTTGGATGCCATGGTATGCGATAACATTGCAACTTACCACCCATGCCATGGTATACGATAACATTGCAATTTGCCTTGCATGCCATCAAGAGCTAATAATACCTAGAGTGTACAACGGAAAAACGGGAAAATAGTGCTATTTCACGACATGATTATTCTACTTTGCCTGCGAGTCTAGAATAATTTTATGTTACTGCATTAAGCAGAATTCTTTGCTCTCTAAAACAAGACCAACCGCTTGTCCATACGATACTCCTAGGCTGAGATATTGGCTCCTAAACCTCCCCTCCCACAGGCATCACAGCGCCTCGAATCCACATCAGTCAGCAACCTACACGCCTCTAAGGTTGCTTCGTGAAAGTTCGGTTTTTCCGCCATAACTTTATGAATGAACGGCATTTCGTTTATCATAGGTGACTTTCGGGGGCATCGCCTATGCCCTTATCTCCCATTATCTTTCCTAGCACGGCTAATGCCCGTCATGATGGAGCCGGCAATGTTTTCTTAATTAAGTTTTTACAACGCAGTTCAGTTACTATATGGTGTAGTAAGAGTACCAAATTTGGGCATGCAGACCTGCCAACTGTTACGTATTGCCCGTAATTTGTTACGGACGCGAGTCAAAATTACGGTGTTACGGACGACCTCGAAAAATTACGGACAGCAAGAAATCTCTGAAATTTATATTTTTTAATGCAAAAAAAAGAAATAAACAGTGTAAAATCAACTATTATCATGTAACATGACTACTGTGTCTGTAGATTTAGACTAATAGCTCTTAAAACGTAACGGTACTCACTGAAAATGGTAAATTATGCTGTGTTATGCGCTCGTCTGTCTGGTTTATGGGCGCAGCCATTTTGAATGACGTCACGGATCCAGGAATAGTAGTACCGCACTGAAGGCTATTTTCAGCCAATCACCGTGAGAGATAAATTATTATTATACTGTAATAAGACTGACAAAAAGGTGTTACTGACAAATGCCTATTTGTTACGGAAAAATCCAATAATTATTACTGATGATCATCAGATGGGGTTGGCAGGTCTGGGCATGTGACATCAATTATCAGCGCTCCAAGCGGTGACGGAAACCGATAGCCGAAATGCTTAGAGGCGTGTAGGTTGCTGACTGATGTGGATTCGAGGCGCTGTGATGCCTGTGGGAGCGGAGGTTTAGGAGCCAATATCTCAGCCTAGGAGTATCGTATTGACAAGCGGTTGGTCTTGTTTTAGATAGCAAAGAATTCTGCTTAATGCCGTACCATAAAATTATTCTAGACTCGCAGGCAAAGTAGAATAATCATGTCGTGAAATAGCACTATTTTCCCGTTTTTCCGTTGTACACTCTAGGTATTATTAGCTCTTGATGCCATGGTATACGATAACATTGCAACTCACCACCCATGCCATCGTATACGATAACATTGTAACTCACACCTCTGCACATGCTTATTTGTCCATATACCAATGTATGTAGTTGGATTGCATGCGTTTGGATTGCACACGTACATGTGCAGTGAGCCTTGGCCCTTTAAACACACATTTATTGATGATGTCAGAGATGTGATCCAACCAGCCTGTTTCCGGTACATCTCATCTATAAATCAAACGTGTGGTTGATTCGATTCATTGGTCAATAGATGTTTACTCGTCATTATACCAATACCCTTATAGCAATACCCGTGCAAAAGCTGTATCCCTTTAAACTTACTATGTCACGAATAAGTCGTCATACTGCATAAGTGTAGACAAATTGGGTCTTATTTATTAGCGGACTTTTTACTGATTACTCCGGCACAACAATCACCACAAATTTGTGCTGTTATAGGCTATAACACAGTAAGTGAACAGCAAACATGCATCTGCTATCTCCAGATTCGCAATAATGGAATGCTTAAATGGCTCCACAAAACGAGCTCATGTAGTTACGTGATGCAAATATTTATAGACTGGTACCTATCTCAAAATGTATACAAAGGTAATTGACCTAGTGTAGAGACAGGGGTCCAGTCTCGCAAGAGCAAAAATCATGCACTAGGTTTGTTGACATATGTAAACAATTTCATTTGAAATACAGATCGGTGCACCTATTGGTGGAAAGAATGTTGTCCGAGTGTTCGATGACATATTAGCCTTACTATATAAATTTCGTGTTATGCAAGGAGTACCAGTAAGCATCAGAACGGTTGAGAAAATATGAAAACGGTTAATGAAAACAAGTGATCATGAACTCCTTGCTTTAACACACCCATGGCAACAAATATGAAGGTGCGTCGCTGGCCTGTGCGAGGTGGATGCGTGACTGTATCCTTGTGTTTACAGGTGTGTGGGGTGGAGAATGTTCTGCCCAGCTCTACAAACCCCACGCGCCCCTACACAGCCAACACGATCGACGAACACCTGGACATGCTCATGGTCTGTCATCATCTCGACAAGTTAGTGTCCAGCGTTACGTCACCTACGTCTCTGTAACGGTCGCGGTGCCGTCTCTCAGTTGACGGATTTGTCATTCTCTGCTTGACGTGTTGGTCGTGCATTCACGAGTTCGTTTATTTAGTATTTTTCTTTTGGTGGTTACGAAAGCACTGATCATTGTCGTAGAGTTAATGTGTTTCTGACATTGACCTTCACAATTTTACACGAGGGGTTGGGATGCTTGTCCGACAAATCATAAGTAGTTGTGACATCGTACGTATAAAATGTCATAACCTTTGAAGTGAAGTGTCGTCCAAAACCCACGACATTGCAGACGTATGACAGTCTTGGGTATTTATGATGTTTCTGACGTCGGGCACCCGGCTGCCTTTCTTACCCAGGAACCTCAAGGAGGATGTTGCGTTTGCGGAGTCGCGCATCCGAGCTGAGACGATCGCAGCCGAGGACATCTTACACGACATGGGAGCAATCAGCATGATGGCCTCTGACTCACAGGTACACGCGTAGCCAATGATGTCACGGGTACACGCATAGCTCAGGGTGTCACGGGGACACAGAACTGATGATGTCATGGGTATATGCATAGCTGAGGGTGTCACGGGGACACAGGACTGATGATGTCATGGGTATATCATAGCTGAAGGTGTCACAGGGACACAGAACTGATGATGTCATGGATACACGCATTAGTGACGTCACAGGCACCGATGCCGATGACCAATCGCTGTCGATGATGCTATGGGGATGACACTTCTAGCTGATGATGTCACAAATACATGCAGAACTTGTGTATTGTGGGTACACGCGTAGCTGATGATGTCACAAATACATGCAGAACTTGTGTATTGTGGGTACATGCATAGCTGATGATGTCACAGGTGCTCGTGTCATTGATAATATCACTGATCACATCATGAGCATGAAGTGTAACTGTGTTGTCTGCTGATCGTTAGGCATGTGCACATGCTTCGTTGCAGGCAATGGGTCGTGTGGGAGAGGTGATAACTCGCTCTTGGCAAACAGCAGACAAGATGAAGCGGTTTAGAGGGCAGCTGTCGGAGGAGAAGGTAACCGTGTGTCTTCCGTTACTCTAGTCTGAGCTGTTGTGTGCATTCCTCTGCAGTTCGTTCATACTTTTATAACTTTACACTACGTGTGGTTCTATGCTATCTTTCTTTCACGTGTAATATTAGTGTCGTAGCATGCATTGCTCTACAGCCACTCCTAATGTTTACATTGGCTTGTTTATCATCTTCATGCGGTTCCTTGTAATGTGACCAGGGTTGTAGCCAGGACAATTTTAGTGCTGGCTAATATCAGTGATTGCGAGCATAGTGAGCGGAGTGAAGGGAGCACAGCATTTTACGGCTGGGGGTCCAGGGGCCCGCATTTACGCATTTTACGCATAATTATTGTTGAGATTAAACTCATAGTTGTTTTTTAAATTAATTCTAAGTGTATCAGCTGTGATTATTTGTAGATTGCTCACTATTTTAAAGGTAATTTTACACAAACTCAATCATGTTTGTGCCGGTCGGAAAGATGTTATTTAAAAGTGCGTGCCGGTCGGCCAACACCATGCAGAACCGGCGCCGACCGGCGTATCTACCATGGTGAATGTGACCCTATACAGATGTTCTCTGACCTGCACCTTACAATCTCGCACTCTGTCTCCTTCCTGTAACTTATAGGGCGACAACGACAATGTGAGGGTTCGCCGATACGTTGCCAAGTATACAATCAATCCTGCAATAGGACATGGCATGGGACATATCATCGGCTCTGTTGAGGTAAACGTCCAACATCTGATTTATCTATCTGAGTGAAATAATCATGCCCCGTTTCTACTTGTTTTACATGCCTATATGCATGCAAAATTGTTGCTTTTCTGGCACGTTGTTATTATGCAACATTTTTAGGATGCTTCTGTAGTAATGCTGGTTACTGTCACCTATCAATACAACTGTCAATGCGTGTGTTTGTGCGTGCGCGCACGTGTGTGTGTGTGCTGTGTTAGTGTGTGTGTGTGTGCGTGTGCGTGTGCGTGTGCGTGTGCGTGTGCGTGTGTGCTAACGTTTTATGTGCATGTGGAAAGCGTAGAGAAGCTGGTCAGTATGTGTGTATGTGAGTGTGTGTGTGCATACATAATACGTGTGTGTGTGCGTGCGTGCATGCATGTGTGATGTGTGGATGCATGTGTGTGTGCGTGTGTTTGTGCGTGCGTGTGTGTTTGACATGTGGATGCATGTCAGGGTCTCCAACCCTGTGAACTCCAAATGCGGAACGTTCCCGCGGTGATCGGTAATGGCGTGCAGTCCGAAGGCGCCGAGCATACTCTGTGGTGTATCCAGAAATGGATGAACGGGGAGGGGGGCGTGAAATGTACCTGGGCTGCCTAAGGCAGTTACAGCCCTATAGACCGAAGGTCCGATAGACCGAAGGTTATGTGTTCAAGGTGTAAAGATGCATTTTCGAATAGGCATTTGCATATGCATTTTAGGCGTCCGGAACCAGAAGGAGGAAGGGGAGAACGGAGAAGGTGGTGGAGAAGGAGGAGGGGAGAAGCTGGTGGAGAAGGAGGAGGGGAGTCGTAAGCGTGATGGAGAAGGAGGAGGGGGAGAAGGAAGAGGTGGTGGGAGGAGGAGGAAGGGGAGAAGCTGGTGCGAGAAGTGAGGACGGGCGAGAGAGAAAGGAGAAGAAGAAGGGGGAGAAAGATGGGGGAGAAGGGAGCTGGTGGAGAAGGAGGAAGGGGAGAAGGGAGAAGGTGGTGGAGAAGGAGGAGGGGAGAAGCTGGTGGAGAAGGAGGAGGGGGAGAAGGGAGAAGGTGGTGGAGAAGGAGGAATGGAGAAGCTGGTGGAGAAGGAGGAGAGGGAGAAGCTGGCGGAGAAGGAGGAAGGGGAGAAAGGAGAAGCTGGTGGAGAAGGAGGAAGGGGAGAAAGGAGAAGCTGGTGGGCGTGTGCGCATGCGCATGTGCCTGTGCCTGTGCGTGTGCGTGTGTGTGTGTGTGTGTGTGTGTGTGTGTTTGTTACAAATTAAGTAAAGTATTTTACTATGATTTATGAAATCTTTGGTCTATAGGTCCCTTTTCAATATTCAATTTATCGGACCTTCGGTCTATAGGGCTGCCCCCGCCTAAGTCAACCCCGTATGCCGCGGCCGCGCCAGTGCTAGGGGGTCTGGGGGCGTGCTCCCCCAAGAAATTTTGAAATATTTAAGCCATTTTCCTGGAATCTGAGGCATACTGTCGGCCATATTCTGATGGCTTATGACACTATCTCAACCCTAGACTCAACCCTACAATTTAGGATTTAAAACACTTTTCATTATTTTTTTTCTGGGCCTGCAAATGGGGGGGCATCTGATTTGCAGACAAACTACACGACACCTTGCAGACAGCGCCTGTCTGACTAGCCTGTTCCATTTACCGGAGACACGCCATATACAAAATGCATAGAAACACATTACAACACTGCACATTACAACACTGCGTGATGGTAGGGGGCGGTGCAAAGCTAAGGTAATGGCAGAGAGCACTATGAGTGTGTGTTTCCTGGAAACGACTTGAGCAGTGAGTGCTTCGTCTTCACTGCACCATGCGTGGCCAGTGCTCAGGCACCAGCTGGAAAAAAACCATTGCAGCCAAGCAAACAATGCGAACAATCAGTGCAAAATTTTTACCGTGCAACTGAAATGAGGAATATAACCCTGCGGCTGCGGAATGCGGATATTAAGCCTAGAAATCGTACAGATTCCGCAAAATGCGGAATGGTTGGAGACCCTGGCATGTGTGCGTGTGTGTGCATATCTAAGAGGTCAATATTGTAATGATGTTTACTTGAAGGTTAACAAGCTGGCTGATTTGGTCATGTGGAAACCTGCTTTCTTCGGCGCTAAGCCCGAAATAATCATTAAAGGTGGACAGATAGCATGGGCACAGATGGGTAATAAATATTTTTATTTATTATGACATGGAAATTCCTTCCATCTATATTATCACACTGTATACATTAACCAATGAGAATTAATTTTACATGTTTAATAATGTTTCAAATTTTTTGTTTTGACAACTTTAATATTGCCTTGGTTATTTTAGGAATGCCGAATGCCTCAATTCCTACACCGCAGCCGGTTAAGCAACGGAAGATGTTTGGAGCTTACGGCAAGGCAGTTGGAGCAAATTCCATCATATTTGTTTCCCAGGTAATGTCTCCAGTCACTAAAAGCTGCACAATCCTATATCTATTAGTCTGTCATGTCAAACATGCAGTCATATACGGTTTTAACAGTCTAGAAAGGAGAGTCAGTGTCTAGAAAAGACAATTGGGATTTTCTTCTAGTCATGGTTATATAGTGAAACAACCTCTATAGAATGGTCACCCGACTATGAAGAACACTTTTAGTGTTTCCCTTGATCGAACCTTATAGACAGGTTTGTCTGTGTATGGTTAACCTGTTTCATGCTGGCCCGATTTGCTACGTGGTTTGAAGGGCTGGCGTGAGACTCGTATCTAACTGCTGTACATTGATCAATGGGTTCTCTTGTCTTCTATGTATATCCTATTTATTCCAGTCTTGTTCTTTTACTGACGTAGTTTGCTGATAGTAGGTGTTGTTTGCTGTCACTGTGTGTAAGGTAGTTAATTACCGATGGATGTGTTATGCAGGCGGCAGCTGAGTCTGGATTGGTGAGAACCTATGGCATCAAGAAAAGGATTGAGGCAGTGAAGAGATGCAGAGGTCTGAAAAAGTCTGACATGGTTCTGAACGATTATCTTCCCGTGCTCTCCGGTAAGTATGCTCAGATGCTTCTTTATATATATATATATATTATGTAATAGTAATCAGGGCCGTAGTGGCCGCCA